GGAGGTTGCATTGAGACGAGATCGTGCCATTGCACTCCAGCATGGAAGACAGAGTGAGACCCCATCTCAAAAAAGAAAAAAAAAAGGAAAAAAAGGAGGTTCCTGCTATGCCAGAAACCCTTAAAAAGCGAAGGAATTTCCCAGAGTTGAAGATCAAAGGCCTGAGAAAGAAGTTTGCCCAAAAGATGCTTCAAAAGGCAAGGAGGAAACTTACCTATGAAAAAGTGAAACACTATCACAAGGAATATAGGCAGGTGTACAGAACTGAAATTCAAACGGCTAGGACGGCCAGAAAAGCTGGCAACTTCTATGTACCTGCAAAACCCAAATTGACATTTGTCATCGGGATCAGTATCAGTGGTGTGAGCCCAAAGGTCCAAAAGGTGTTGAAGCTTCTTCGCCTTTGTCAAATCTTCAATGGAACCTTTGTGAAGCTCAACAAGGCTTCAGTGAACATGCTGAGGATTGTAGAACCATATATGGCATGGGGGTACCCAAATCTGAAGTCAGTAAATGAACTAATCTATCAGCGTGGTTATGGCAAAATCAGTAAGAACCGTATTACTGGCCGGGCGCGGTGGCTCAAGCCTGTAATCCCAGCACTTTGGGAGGCCGAGACGGGCGGATCACGAGGTCAGGAGATCGAGACCATCTTGGCTAACCCGGTGAAACCCCGTCTCTACTAAAAAAATACAAAAAACTAGCCGGGCGAGGTGGCGGGCGCCTGTAGTCCCAGCTACTCGGGAGGCTGAGGCAGGAGAATGGCGTAAACCCGGGAGGCGGAGCTTGCAGTGAGCTGAGATCCGGCCACTGCACTCCAGCCTGGGCGACAGAGCGAGACTCCGTCTCAAAAAAAAAAAAAAAAAAAAAGAACCGTATTACTTTGACAGATGATACTGTGATTGCTTGATCTCTGGGTAAATATGGCATCACCTGTATGGAGGATTTGATTCTTGAGATCTATACTGTTGGAAAATGCTTCAAAGAAGCAAATAACTTCCTGTGGCCCTTGAAATTATCCTCTCCACAAGGTGGAATGAAGAAAAAGACCATCCATTTTGTTGAAAGTGGACATGCTGGCAACAGGGAGGACCAGATCAACAGACTTCTTAGAAGAATGAACTAAGGTGTCTACCGTGATTGTTTTTCTAATCTAAGCACTTAAACAGTACCTGCTCTCAAATTGGAGGGAAAAAAAGAAAGTTAAACATGGAATTACCAAATGATCCAGCAATTCTGCTCCTAGGGATACACCCAAAAGAATTTAAATCAGGTGTCCAGGCTGGGTGGGGTGGCTCATGCCTGTAATCCCAGCATTTTGGGAGGCCGAGGCGGGAGGATTGCATGAGCCCAGGAGTTCATGGGCAACCAGTCTGGGCAACATGGTAAAACCCTGTGACTACAAAAAATACAAAATGGGCTAGGTGCGGTGGCTCATGCCTGTAATCCTAGCACTTTGGGAGGCGAGGCGGGTAGATCACCTGAGGTCAGGAGTTCAAGACCAACCTGGCCAACAAGGTGAAACCCCATCTCTACTAAAAACTACAAAACTTAGCTGGGTGTGGTGGCTCATGCCTATAATCCCAGCATTTTGGGAGGCCGAAGTGGGTGGATCACCTGAGGTCAGGAGTTTGAGACCAGCCTGACCAACAGGGAGAAACCCCGTCTCTACTGAAAATACAAAATTAGCTGGGCTTGGTGCTACATGCTGGTAATCCCAGCTACTCGGGAGGCTGAGGCAGGAAAATCGCTTGAACTGAGGAAGCGGAGATTGTGGCGAGCCAAATCATGCCATTGCACTCCAGCCTGGGCAACAAGAGCAAAACTCTCTCTCAAAAAAAAAAAAAAAAGATTAACTGTGCATGGTGGCTCATGCCCATAATCCCAGCACTTTGGGAGACTGAGGCGGGTGGATCATGAGGTCAGGAGATCAAGACCATCCTAGCCAACATGGTGAAACCCCCTCTCTACTAAAAATACAAAAATTAGCTAGGCATGGTGGCATGCGCCTGTAGTCCCAGCTACCCATGAGGCTCAGGCAGAAGAATCACTTGAACCCAGGAAGAAGAGGTTGCAGTGAGTCAAGATCATGCCACTGCACTCCAGCTGGCTGTAGAGGGAGATTCCATCTCAAAAA